AGACTGCGTCATAAAATGTCTTCAAATACATGACATTCAAGTGAAATTCTTCTATTCTTCTATTTCTTATCAGAGCACAGTAAAAATTCCATTCAAGTAGCCATGTTACGGAGGAAAGGAAACGAAAACAACAAGCACCTCTGCTCCAGTAAAGCCAACCCACGGTTCCTCGCCATAAGAAAATAATTCCCACAACGTAACACCAAATGACCAGACATCGGAAGCATGTGAAAACTGCCGATAGCGTAAAGATTCGGGGGGACACCTGAAATGAAAAGATGAAAATCAACAAATTCAGAAAAACAAATTAAATTCAGGTTAAAATCGAACAATGAAACAGAACGGAGAGCGTTAATTTGTCTTTATATTGGATAAGTACATACAATAGTTGAGTATATTTTGCTAATACAGCCTTTTTTTTCAAGAATAAATCACTGTCTTACCATGCAAAAGGTACTTTCTTCTGTGCGGACATTACGTAAAGGCGTTCGTTATTCTCGAGTACCCGCATTAGGCCAAAATCACAAATTTTGGCGACCTGGAATAGGATGGATTTTTGTGAATAGTTTTTGGATAGATCGGATAAATTTTGATAGATAAATCGGATAGATTTTGTGGCTCACAGATTATAGCACTGATGATTTTGCGACTATACGAAGAGGCCCATTTCTGTCCTATTTTAAAAAATTACCGCAATGAGTCTATCAAATCATTTAACGTTTTACTAGCCTTTCTATCTTTCTATGCCACTGGGAAATTCCCGAAGTGTGCCCTATCAGTGCGAGTTCAGGTAAATAACATGATTTCGGAATCAGTATAAAATTATTGGCGATTTCTAGTCCAAAACCAACAGATCAACATCCATAACGTAAAAAAAAACACTTACCCGATCATTTTCAGTAAGCAAAACGTTACGTGCAGCCAAATCTCGATGTACACAATGTTTAAGCTCCAAATATGCCATACCCTGAAAATTCGCAGTTCCCAATTCCACGACAAATACAAGCAGTATTCAAAGACCAAGCAAGTTTCTATGCTTAAAAGCCGCTAAGCGGACTTGATGCTAGTAGTATAACTGTGATATTTCATCGACGATGAACGCAGCTAAGCCAGGCCCTTCGGTCTTGCTGAGTTCCGCAAGCAGCCTTTCAATAAGCTTGTCATAGATGGCTCAGCTGGGAGAGATTGTTTGCTGCTGTCACGTGCTATCTTCGCTTTGCGCATGGAGTAAACACCAAAAATCTTTTTGATTTTTAAATGTGCAATAAAATACCCTGGCAATCTGCTGTGCGTAATCGGCAAGCATCGAAACGAGAATCACCGGTTTTTCGGTGGACCTTATGCGATCGATCAATGCGCCACCATCACAGAACTCAACAACCTGAACTAGCAGCGATTATATTCTCGGAAAACCATAAAGATCGGCACAACCACCCACTTCTGTCTACAATTACGCGGCCAAATAGAAGCACAAATCATACTTATTCCTCAGTTTTATACTTTGGTCAACAGTTTTTCTTTGATCAACAACTGTTCTGCCACATCTCATCCTATCGAAGCAGCTAGCAATTTCAGCAAAATTCGAAACTTCATCGCCTGCTACGATTTTTGACTACTTTTCGTTATTCTCATAAAAATATGGTAAATTTAATTGTGGGGTAGCAAAACCCGGAAAGCACTATGTCACAGATGGAGAATCAAAGTGGTAGCTAGAGTCGTTTCAAATATTCCAAGTAAGTACCATCATGCCAGAACTGGAAAAGACAATTCCAAAAAGCTGAATGAGATTTGGATGCTGCAATTTTTGCATATTGTTCACTTCTCGCTGCAAATCCTCGATCATTTCAGGCGTCGATTCGCGAAGAATCTTCACGGCAACGTCCAATTTCTGGCCTGTTTTCGTGGTCCACGTGGCACGTTTAACCACCGCAAATGAGCCCTCGCCCAATCGCTCCATCAATTTGATCTAAAAACATTGTTGTTTCACTAATAATTCATAG